TTTTGCGCGATGACATTTTAAAATTCAACACATACGACGATTTGCATCGACAGAACGTCGGATCCACATCCCGGACGAAACATTGACCGCCTATCCGATGAACGCGGTGCTGTCAAACATCGGGGACTGGCGGATTCAGGTGCAATAAGATGACGCACGAAGAACCACAACATCCCTTGGGGGGTTCTGTCGGACAGCAACGCCGCGATTGTAATAGGCATTGTGAACATGAACGGCGATGCTGCAAGGCCGCCCTGGTCGGATAATGGAGTCAAAATGACGCCAGAAGAAAATTCGTGAGGAGTCCGGAGGCGATTGAATCGATTGCGCGAAGTCCTTCCCGAGGATTAGCAGGCGTGAGTTCGTTCGTTGGTCGGCGCACACCAGAGGCAAGTTGTCCCCAGGAATGCGACCGAACTCCTGTAGCAATTGTGGTCGATGACTTGGATCAGACAACAGCAACAGATCGAGGCATGTTGAATTCTACGGTCCTTGAGAAGAGAGCAGAGCCGAGATAAAACAAAGGTTTTTGCTGTTCCGAGAGCTCAATGCAGGATCCAATATGATCCCAGGATGTGGTACTCGTACAGAAGCGTCGAGACAATAGATGTTGAAATATTTTGACGAATTGAGGTCTCCAGATGCACATTGAGGTCTTGGATTTCCCCGCTTGAAAAGCTTTCCAGTCCTTGTTCGTCCCGAGAGCAGGTAGGGCCAGCAGGCTTGAGAGCCTCGATGAGGCACGCAGATATTCTTGGGCCTTGAACTCTTGCAACGCAGACATTTTGGGGGCTTGAACCAGGTAGAAACAGTGGCAACGACGTATTAGAGGCAGAAGGAAAGTTGCGGGAAGGCAAGATGATGGGGGAGGGAGGCAAGAGTGCTTCGCAAGGGCCGACCGTTTTCAATGGATTTTGTGCGCGAGAAATAAAGTCGCATGACTGCTCGGAACGAACGGCATGGAGATAGCCAGAGCACAGTACGAGTAAAATGGCGATTGGAGTACTCATTCGACAGACGCTGGGAAAAAGAAGTAGAGTGCAAGCAGGTGGCACAGTAAATGCCGGAGTCAACGCCTCGAGGATGGACACATGATGTGAGCAAACATGTACACATAAAATCACCGCATCTGCTTAAGATACGAGTAATGGGATCTTACCTGAATTGCGACCGCCATCCCCACATGTCCATCAATAGGACCGCCACCGGGAAAAACCGCCCACGGGTGGCCTTAAACACGGCAGGTAACGTGAATACAATATATTGTATGGCATCTGACCCGAATTGCGACCGCCGTCAGGATGCACCCGATGGAATTCCGGGATCTCTCATCCCCGGCATCCCCACACGTCCGACCGCCACCGGGACAAACCGCACTCGCCCACGGGTGGCCTTAAACACAGCAGGTAATGTGAATACAATATACTATATGGCATCCGACCTGAATTACGACCGCCGTCAAGATGCGCCCAATAGAGTTCCAGGGTCTCTTTTCCCCAACATCCCCGTGCGTCCATCAACAGGGCCGCCATTGGGAAAACCGCACTTGCCCACGCGTGGCCTTACGCACAGCTATACGTCCCCAACTCCGTCAATTTATGCGGCCTCCTGCTACGACAGAACTCCTTCGTGATGGTTAATTGGCTGGAGCCCAACCATCTTGGCCTCCAGCTGTCCTGGTGGAATTGGAATATTTCGTTCCACCCACACCTTATGTCCTGGTTGCAATGCCATTCTCACGGGTGGGAAGAATTCTTCCTTGAAAGTACCCCGCTCGCTGTCCTGCCACGCAAATTTCTCTTCATTTACCATCATAAAATGGTGAACCAAGTCTAATTCTGCCTTGGATAGGAAGCCATCACTATGCATTTTATCGATTATTTCCTTCCGCTCCTGAGTGTATCTAGAAGTTGATTCCAGCTTGCCTCCGGCGGGCAAAAAAAATGCAGGCAGGAGCTTGTTGGCTTTCTGCAGTTCAGCTCCCAGGTCATCCCGCACTCGCGTGCCTTCATTCGTCGTTTGATCGACTTTTCCTTCAAATTCTCCACCCCCTTCTCACGCCTACACATCCCATCTGGCGCACGCTCCGATCTTGGTTGGTGGTCAGCTCTGAGCGCACACTGGAACGGTGTCCAGATCATCGACCCTGATCGCCCTACAATTTATGTTGAGACCGATGCTAGTGGGCACAAAGGTCTCGGCGGTGTTTGGCAGGATTTCTGGTTCGCCTCACGCTGCCCAAGGAGTTTCCGTGATCGCGACATTCAATTCAAGGAGATCTACGCAATTCTGCAGGCGATTTTGCGGTGGGGTGACACATGGTTTGGCACCTATGTTGTCTTCCGTTGCGATAATCAGGCAGTGGTGCAGTGGCTGAGTTCAGACACGGCACGCTCGGCTCCGGGCATCAGCGTGTTGAGGCAGATTATTCTGCTCTCTTCTGTTCTCCATTTCACTTTTTCTGCTGTGTGGATCCCGACATCCGAGAATGCGCTTGCTGACGCTGCTTCTCGTTTTCAGTACAGCTGCCTGTTCCACCTGGCTCCACAGCTCTGCCGGACATCCTCAACTCCGCAGTCCCAGATCATTGGTATACGATGCACGCTCACCTCCCTCGAGAAGTCGCATTTTTCCTCTGGCACGGGCTCGCTTCCTCCACCCGGGACACTTACTCATCCGCCCAACAATCCTTTCTCAACTTCGTTCGGCTCAACCATCAGTATGCCCCCGCTCCCGGTCAGCTCCTCCCTCCTACTGAGCTCGGTCTCATGGCCTGGTCCGCTCACCTTGCCAGCAAGGAACGCCCCATCCTCCACAAAACCATTAAAGAAGAACCGTGTCTTGAGCTTGTCTGCTCGTCTTCATGTGGCCGCTGCTCCTCCTGCAGTCTCTTGAGCAGCTGGCTCTCCGCTGCATTTCCTGTGGCTCGAGCGCGGTCCCTTACGGTCCGAGCGAGAGAGCTTCTGGCGACCAATCGAATTCTCGTTTGTCCCCAAAACCTCTCTCCCTCTCTTCCACACGACGAGCAAGGCATAGAATCGTGTTCTTGAGTGGCCGCCACCCATTTCTGTCGCTCCACGCACTCCTCCTCGGATCCACGGACATAAACGCGGTGCTTCCTGCCTTCAGCACTCTCCTAGCCGTCGTAGTAACAAGGAGAACGAGGCTGTACGCGTATCAAACTTGGATACGCGCAGGTCGAAGACTGCGAGGCTTGGTTGATTATTATGCATTGAATCATACTCATTGGATAGAATTATTTTCATACATAGAAGAACATGTTACTATGCTACTCCAATATTTTCAGTATTGTTCATTAGACCCCCGTGCGTACGATTTAAAATGAGTTGAGCGGACGAGCCGTTCCAAACGGAGAAGCATCCCGATTAACCGTTCTTTAACGAAATGCTTCGCGATTCTTTGTAAATGTTTGTACTCTTCTCCATTTATCTGATATCCTTCCATCTTGCTCTGGTTTCGTGCTCCATTTTTAATTAACTGTTCTTTAAGTAAAAGCCTCGTCGGCGGTGCAATTGCCCCCTGTAGCTTTATCTCCATCCTTTTTTTTACTCTCCTCTCATTCTAAAAATCCTAGGTTCTTGCCCCATTTGTGCGCACCTGTATCCTCATCGCAACGACTACGCACTGCGCAAACTTCGCCGCAGAATCGCACGGACAGCACAGACGTTACAGCAGAAGCCCAGAGCTTTGCCTTTTAGTTAATTAATTAGTAATTAGCCATTCTATAAGATTTTGCTCGTTCGGTGGTGCTATATCCCGATGTAACCATCCTCCTTTTGTTTTTCCTCTGCTCTTGCTCTCCGTCTGTCCTCGACTCTCTCGGCTCTTCAGCACTGCCTTTTCATTTGTGGTCAAACAGCTGACTCGCCCGCAGCTTTTTCTTGGCAGGACGCAGTCGATCGCAGTCGTTGCTCATGATTCTATTCATCAGGCCGGGGGGCCACGTATCTCCCCGGCAGATGATTCTTCACATATAAAAACGGCATGGATAGAACCCCTTCACCTACTTTCCTCCTCGAACTTATTTTCATTTTTGGTCTGATCTTTGGAGCTGCTGCTGCGGGGGATAGTCCTCTCTACTTGGGTTTGACTCAAACTATGATTTCAACCCTAGGCATCCGCTTGACCCTCAAAATCTATATGTCTACAACTGCAACTGCCACTGCTCCCAATGCTGAATCTCGTGCTAGCTGTGTCGTGTCTGCTGCTTTCTGGCCCATGATTGCTTTTCATCTCAGTCCTGAACCTCCTCTAACCCACACCGAGTTGCTTGCAATAGCTTTGCCCTGCGACCTATCTTGCCGGCTTTCATTTATGTCAAGATTTGTGGTTTTCTCGCGTTTCCATTGTTCACTCTGGCTGGCAACAAATTATTAATCAAATTCACACCTTCAGATATCTTGAATCCTTCCGCTGTTTCTGGCTGGTGCATCCCTCCAGATGAATCAAATGCAAGATCGAAACATTCAGCTTAAGTCGCCCTCAATTACCTGCTCTTGCTATTGCTTCCTTCGCCTCCTTTTGAGCGCCCCAGCTCCGATTATTCTTGGTTGACCAGCAGAGTAACTGCTCCTCTCCTGCTGTCTTCTATTTTTTATCTCTGAACACTTCGGTGAGTTGATTTGTTTGATTTCCCGTGTTGTTTGCCGCTGGGGAGAGCAACTTCGGCTAAGTATCCATTGTTTTTTTTTCCCGTTTCTAATTGGATTGTATGTCGACAATATATTATTTTCTTAATCCTTTCTTGCCATGCTTCTTATTGCCGGAGCGAAGCGACGACTGGTCTTGTATATGATAGAAGGTACTCTTGTGTCACGTGAAGTTGATAGTGGGTCCGATACCAAAATCGGATGCCTCTTGGCCCATGCCATGCTCTCTAGACTTTCACTCGCGCATGTTGTGAGATACTAATTGCACCAGAAATGATTGTTTCAATGACAAGGCAAGAGACTACACAGCCGTGAAAGGATCCAAAAGAATAGCTTTACTGGGATTCTAACCCAGGACCTCCTCATTACATGCAGAGTTGCTCTAACCACCTGAGCTAAAGTGATGATGATAATACTATACACAGCATGGTCCAGCCTCTGAACACTGTGTTCCCAAGGATATTCCAGCGTGCACAAGCCTCTCGCACCTTCGCCTTGGACCCCAACTACCCTACTTGACGAGCTATTCCTCTGATATCAGAACGTCTATCGAAAGTAGAATGCGAAGTGGTAAGTAAAAGTGTTGAAGTTGAGCAAACGCCGAGATCGCCGAGGCTATTACTAAGCCCGATGTTGAAGCGCCGACGCGCTCGAAAGCGCTCGAACATTCACTTTATACTTCTTACTAAGTAGTTACTAAACATTCTTACTCATCTTCGGGCAGAACCTGCTAGAATACTTTTGTGTAGAGTATAAATACTTGAGCTTTTTGTCGTAGTAAATTCATTCAATTAATCTTCTGAAATATCCGACTTTCATCAGGTTATGGGCCCCGCCTGCCTGAACTGAATCACGAATAATCTCACCAGCTTTACTCACTCTCCACTCTAATCTCGCACACCCATCTACTCGCTTACAATGTCAGACAGCAATTCAGCAACCGCATTAAACAGCTCGAGTGAGCCCAGGGCTATTCAGCATGGGCAACAAAGATGATCGACATCCTGACAGACCAGGATATGGACGGCATCAAGCTTTCTCTGCTGGTAGGTCGATGCAAGACTATCAACAGCTACGAGTGTCGAAGATGTGACTTCAAAAGTATCAGTTCCCTCAAATAACTTGGCATTTGCTTGATCTGAATACGATGTATAAGATGATCCTTGATTATTCGCAGAGTTTGTACGTAGAAAATCTGTAAACACAATCGGGTAATCATGCACTGGGTATTCCTCTTTTTATTTTTATTTTTATTGGGAGTGTTGGGATAATGAAATTCAGTCTGCAGAAGCATTCCAAAAGTCATCCGCTGGGTCTACCAGATAAATCCAGTTAATTCCGGGGAAGTTGTCCAGGGAGGAAATGCCATTACGCACAAGTACCATAGTGTGGGACTCCAGCCGTAATAAATTTATCCTATCCCATTTCTTAGATCATTCAATGTCAATGGCTGTATACCCACTAAAACCCCCACTGTGTAAGTCCAATCATCTGGCAGAGCGTCTTCGTTCATTAGTAGACCACTCCATGTTCTTAGGACAAGATCTTTATTCAGCGCAAGATTACCAAATTTCATTTTATTGGTGAGGATTCAATCTCGTCCTAGTGCGGAATTCACAGATTTCAGCCATCTGTTGTGAATCTCAACATCTGTAATGTTACGGTGTGGGTTCTTCAGAACCTTATCATTCCGGATGTTCCAGATTGTGTGCCAGGCCGTGGATACCAGAATGGCAAATAATCGTCCCATAGCAGGGATAATTTTCCCGTTTTAGTGTTTAAATCTAACAAGGTTACAACCCAAGATGAGTCCCCAGCTGTGGGGGGGCCAGTTGGAATATTTCATGGCCCAGAGTTCCTTGGTCAGTTGCCAAATTAATTTTGCCCCTGAGGCATCACATTCAAGCGCGATGTGTTCGAGGTTTTCAGGGACTCCACATGTTGGGCAGACTGCAATGGCATCAAGATTGTCAGTATGTGTCCAGAAGTCGCCGACTCTGAAAATGTTGTGAATCGATGTCCAGAATAATTCACGGTGGAGTCGTCTCAGATTTGTGGAACGTATAGATTTCCAAATCATTTCATCAGTAGGAGTAATCAGAGACTTCATGCACGGAGCACCGGATACGATCTAAGTTGATAAATGTTGCCTTCCTGAACGGTTCTGAGCGTCTGCCTTTAATGATTTTTGTAAAGATTCTCTGTGAGCCTTGTGAGATTAGAATACCCAGGCAGCTGAACATTAAATCGATTTGGGTATCAACCTCAAGCGGAGGGTATGAATCAATACCTGCAGTGACAGGGAAAGTGATTGTTGTCTGCTTGAACTGTGTTCGTGCAACTCGCTCATTCAGAGCTGCAAATACTGCTTTGAAGAGCAGGAAATTTGGGTCTAACATGTCGTTTTCAGATTTTGTTCTCTCCTTAATTAGTGCTTTGAGCAAAAAGTCGGATGAAGAACATAGCAGTAAGGGAACATTGTGTGGGATTTTCTGCAGCACTGTGAGGGTAGCCCCCAATATTCCTGATTTAAAGTTAGTTTTTATGGTTGGGTTGTCAAATGTGAGGTGGATAGTTGCATCCTCGTTGAGGTCATCTGAAACAATTTTGAATCTTGCCATAATTTGAGGGTCGTACTGACCAGCACGCAGGACCTTGATATGTACAAAGGCTGTTATTTGATCAGGGAGTGGCTGCAATCGGAGTTGTCGTCATGGCGGAATCTCATTCATTGAATCATCCCCAGCAAAGATCCGGAAGCCATTTGTGGTGCTGGATAATCTGAAGTTTGGATCATAGGTCATTGGTTTATCAATTTCTACCCCTCCTTGGTTAGCTTCCAATTCCTCTGCTGTCAGTTTAAGCTCGTTGCAAAGGTCAGCCGTTGGAGCTAACGGATTCCATTTTGGCATAATACAGTCTATCAATGTCTGGGCGGTCTCAATGCATTTGCCAGGGTGTACGCAATCAAGTTCATTTCGATCTCTGTTGCAAGATGGGCATCCACAGTTTTTACAGGCAATGCCACTACTAGGGTTGATTGTGTGTGGCCGTCTTGCCACCGTAGTTCTCCTCGTAGCTATTATGAGGGCGTCTTTAACCGTCCGAACCTCATGTTGGTTTCTGAGGCAAATTGCTGCATTTCGAAGGCAGGCATTTTTATAAGCTGGTTGGCGGATAGCAGGGTGCTTCCATATCGGCATCTCCAGTTGGACATCATGGTCAATTGAGAGTGCTGTAAATTTGAGGTTGAACTCCTGCACCTTAGTATGGGGGAGCGATATATCACCTCCCTCTGATCTTCGGAGAGCGGTGATATATCAAAACCGATAAGTTAGAGGCGGTTTTGATACATCAACGCAGCGTCATTCTTGGGGCCGGGGGGGACATTATTTCCAGCCACCGTCCCTGCCCAGCGCGGTGCTGATGGATATCTGCATTTGGACAGCATCGATCAAAGGTCGTGCACATCGTGATCAGTTATGATCAAATGGCTTTGACGTCGCCGGCGACGGCGAAGGCAAAGTATCCTCCAAAAATCACGAAAAAAATTGTAGAATATCAAGTGCATATACAACACATCTACTACAAAATTTATGGTATACATGATTTGAAATAAGCCCAGAATACCCGTTTTATAGTCCCACTAGCTTGAACTTGCTGGATTCCGTTCGCCCGCGTCAGCTACAGCGGCAGACATGGTATAACAGCAGACATGGTAACACTGCTATCCTGCCGCCGGCGAGACCACCGTCTGGGCTGCCTGCCCACTGCCTGCCCACCTCTAGAGCCTTGAATACTCGTCGAAAAGATGATCGGTCGCGGCTACTCCCCCATTTCGGGGGTCCGAGTGTCTGATTCCGATTTTCCCGGATTTTTTCTGATGAGTAGACGGTCAGGAACCATAAAATCATGGTCTCTCCCTCCCAATTTTCACTTACATAAAAAATTATTTTCAGATTCGCAATCAGGGCCATAAACTTGTCCCCAAAATGAGGTTGATGTACTTTTCAACATTTTCCGCTCGCCTCTTGCCTCCGGCTCGGATCTCCGTTCCATTTTGAATTATTGGTTATTGAAACCCCTTCATTTGAGATCGCCGAGGCTTTGATATTGGTCACTCTGTACTATCGAAAGCATGTCCGCAACCGCGGTCTCATAAAAAGCAATAGGCTGATGAGATTTCGTTCAAAGGCAGTTTTTATCCTTTTTTTTCTTTCGGGAACCAGCACACCCGATGCCAAACCCCGACCCGCCATTCATCCACTGGTGACTCCGGGATAGAGGGAAACGAAAAGCAGACCAGCTAGCCAACGAGGGCCGCAAAAAAGACGCTTGCACCCATGGCTACATGCAATATCCCCAACAACCTCCCTATACCCGGGGTCAAACTGAAAGAGTGCTTTAAATCTCTGAGCTGCTTCACACACTAGTAATGTATCCTATTCTCGAGCCCCGAGGTCGTTCTTCGACCAATTGCCATGTGGCTCGACACGCGCTCAAAGTAATGAAGGGCGGAAGGAATTTTGCGCTTGCAAAAATGTTCCAAACCCAGTAAACAATGAAGAAGGGGAAATAGAAATAATAAAGGGACTCACCGAAGAGGCGTCGGGGTGTTTCAGGAAGGAGAGGGTTGACAGGTGGGAGTAATTTGAAACAATGAGGAAGGAAAGCGGTACGATCACGAAGCAAGTTCGTGCCCGCGGGAATGAGAACGCGAGGCACGACGGTCACGCCCTCACGTAAGCGGGACCTAGTCATCCTCAACACGTGTTTGCAACGCGTCTCGTCGCGTTCCAACGGATGGTAGTCAAGCAACGTACCAGAGGGGTAGGTAGTTGCCATAGGATTCGTCCGGTCGCAAGGTGTGGTGTAGAAACGGCCCGGGGACCCGGGTCTGTTGAGAGGAAAACGAGCACAACAGCGCTGGGATTGGAGTCGCCGAGGCAACTGGGTGCTATGGTAGCTATATTTTGAGGTGTATTCAAGTGTTTAGGAGGTACAAACATTAGCACTATAAAAGCGGGGTGATTTGGTAGATGTAGAGAGTACTCGCCCGGGCTAATCCCCGTGTTTCGTTGTTATCGCTGGCATTCGTGGCGTGCGACCCCGCTAACCGCTTCGATGTCTCGACGTAGGATGAGGTGGCGGAAGCACGGTCCAAGGAGATGGTGTTGTCCTTTCGGGCAGGGGGTGTTGCTCCCCTATTCCAGCAACCGCCAAAACAATACCAGCAACAGCAAGGACGGGCGGGAGGCCAGCGCGGGCAGGGAGCGGGGCAGACGGAAGACCAAGGCGGTCAGGGCAGCAACAACGGTGGGCGGTTGCTTGGCCTGTGGCTGGCGCGGCCACCTACACACCTGCTGCAAAGGCCAAGGAAGCTGGCTCGTCAAGCCACCAGGC